CATAACATAGCTCATAAAGAAAATGTTTACATCCTATTTTGGTGAATAGCGTCTGGAGTCTTAAAAGCTTGCAAGTGACCATCCAAGATACATCTGTTGATCCCGTCCCATGCAGAGCAAAGGAGAATGAAAAAAACCAAAGACGTAAGGAAAATATTAGTCCAGATGACTGATGGACCACGTGAACCAGAGCCTCTACCAGCCTGAGTGCAGAACTAGATGGTGCCCGGCTGCCACCACTGACTGCTCTGACAGGGATCACAATAGAGGGTCCCCCGGACAGAGCGGGAGAAAAATGTAGAACAAAATTCAAATTCACAGAAAAGACCAGACTTACTGGTCTGATAGAGACTGGAGGAACCTCTGAGACTATGGCCCCTGGACACCCTTCTAACTCAGAACTGAAGTCACTCCTAAAGTTTACCTTTCAGCCAAAAATTAGACAGGCCTGTAAAACAATGACACGTATGAGGAACATGCTGCTTATTGCAGTTAAGTGTATGTGACCAAATGGGCAACACCTGCCCAAGAACATAGACGAGAGAGGAAGGGACAGGAAAACGGGACGAATGGAAAATGGGGAGGAGAGTGCTGGCACATTGTGGGGATTACAGCCAGTGTCACAAAACAATTCGTGTATAAATCTTTGAATGAAAAACTAATTTGCTCTGTAAACTTTCACCTAAAGCACAATTAAAAAAAAAATTGATAAATTTTATGCAATTTCAGTTGGAACAAAGATAAATGTACTGTAAGGCCATTTAGTGGGGAGTTTATTTATATGGAGTCCTTGGGTAGTGCAAATGATTAATATGCTTGCCTGCTCACCAAAAGGTTGGAAGTTCACGTCAACCCAGAGTGCCTCAGGAGAAAGTTCTGGCGATCTCCGTCCAAAACTTCAAAGCCATTGAAAATCCTACATTAGGAGCACAGTTCTACTCTGACACAAATGGGGTTGCTGTGAGTCGTAATCAACTCTATAACAACTTTTTTTTTCCCCTGGTTTTTTAAATTTAACATATAGGCTTGGATAACTACGCATGTGGAAGAAAAAAAAGTTATAATTCCTCATTTACACCACATGTAAAAATAAATTCTAAGTAAAGTAACAAAATGTTTTTAAAGAACAAAAATCTTAGAAGAAATTCAGGAGAGTACATGTATGATCTAGGGGTGGTAAAGACCCTAACCAAGGGAGGAAAACCAAAAGCTCTAAAATAAAAGAGAGATATACTTGACGGTATAAAAATTGAGGACCCCTGGTGGCTCAGTGGTTAAGTGCTCAGCTGCTAACCAAAAGGTCGACAGTTCAAACCTGCTAGCTGCTGCTCGGGAGAAAGATGAGGTGGTCTGCTTTCGTAAAGATTATAGCCTTGGGAACCCTATAGGGCAGTTCTACTCTGTCCTGCAGGGTCACTATGAGTCAGAATTGACTTGACAGCAACGAGTTTGGTTTGGTATATAAAAATTAGAACATTTTGCATGGCAATAGTTTCCATAAACAGTGAAAAGACTTAGAAAAAACGTGCAGTGCAGATAACACAGTTGATACTTATGTTATAAAGCAAGTTTCTACATTGATAAGAGGCCATCTGATTTTGTTCTATGACTTGTTTATTCTTTTTTTGGTTGTGGTTTCCATTTCTGGGTACTAACTGCTGATGTAAAGAAAAGCTATTGGTTTTTGATTATTTCTCGTATCAAACTGCCTTACCTTGTTTCTTATTAATTTGAGCAGTTTTTTAGAGTTTCTTGTGTTTTCTAGGTACTCAATGATACAGGCAAATGAGAAGTAGTTTTCTCTCCCTTTATTTAATGTTTAGACTAATTATTTCATTTTCTTATCTTATTCCATTGGCTAGACCCTCTAAGATCGTATTGACTAATGATGATAGTATCCCTTCCTAGTTGCTGATATTAACTGAAATGGTTTTAATGTTTCACCTTTTAGAATGATACTGTTTGTGTTTTTGGTAGATAGTTTTTTATCATTCCTGTTGCTAGAAATGGTTTAGTTTTATCAAATGCTTTTTCAGAATCTACTGATGCTTTTTAACATTCTTGACTAAAGATTTGCATCAGATTGCATTGTACTATGAATGTATTTGGAGCAATCTTGCCATAATCCTTATTTTGCTTTTGCCTTGTCTGGCAGTCCTGTTCCTATTTTGTTTCTGCTATGCCATAATGCCTTATATGGTAGAATAACAAACTCCAGATTCTTTGTGTTTAGAATTTGATTATAAGTGCTGGATATCACTTTTCTAGTCTGCAGAATCTAAAGGTGAAATACCATGTACCATTTATGTTCTTAAGTGAATGAGACTGTTTTTGTACCAACTTTGTCAGGTTTTGGTATGAAGAATTCTGTTGGCTTTATAAAAACTGATACTTAAGCCTTTCGTTTTATTCCCCCCTCTGCTCAGGAATAGTTTGAATAACATAGCAATTATCTGCTCCTTGAGATTTAGGAGAAATTGCCCACAAAACCATCTGCGCCTACTGCCATTTTTTTTTGGTGGTGGAACTTTAACAATTTTTGCATGTGTTCTTTACTCATTGATCCGGTCAAGAATTTTTCTTCTGTAATCAGTCTTGGCAAGCCCTGGTGGTGCAGTGGTTAAGCATTCGGCTGCTAACCAAAAGGTTGGCAGTTTTGAATCCACCAGCCACTCCTTGGAACTCCTATGGGACAGTTCTACTCTGTCCTGTAGGGTCTCTGTGAGTTGAGATCAACTCGATGACAACAGGTTTGTTTTTTTTAAATCAATTTTGGAAATTAGGTTTTGCTATAAAAGTCATTCATATTTTCTGATTTAGCAAGCTATTATGAAGTTAAATCTCTTAGAATTTGTTTTAATTACTAATGTTTATTCCTTTTGGCCTACACATCTTTGGGAATCTTTTTTTTTTTTCATGATCTTTGACAGCAAGCATAGTGGTAATTAGTATAACTGTAACACAGAATGGTAGGTGGGGGTAGGATGGGGAATATAAATGTGGTCTTGAGTTTTCTCTGAGGAAATGGCCTTGCACTCCTGTAGCCCTGCTTGCCGGCATTTGTGCTCTGGCCCTTCAACCATAGTGCCCCTGCCTAGCTTCATCTTTTTTATGAGTCACTTTTTCTCGTGCTCCTTTAAACTCCTTACTGTAATTCCATTGACTAGACTGGCCCTCAAAAAACAGACAAATAAAACAACAAACCCCAAAACAAAATAAAATCAAGGTATAATCCTTGTTGAAATAGAGGTTAAATTGGTGTCTGAATGCTTAATGCTGTACCATGTGGTACATCCCCTCAGAACTTACGTTTCCCTTCTTCCAACCAAGAAATCACACTCTGTTCCTTTACAGAGTGAGTACTTTTTGTGTTTAGTTTGTACTTTTTTGTTTTGTAGTTTTTTGTACTTTTTTAGTTTGTAGTTTTTTGAATAAGCAGTCTTTTTTTTTTTTTTTTCCTGTTTCTCAGCCATGTGAAGGTAGATCTATTATTGATTTGGAAAGATGCGTATAAGATTCATTGTTAAATCAAAGAATCAAGTCACAGAATAATACATGTAGCAGCATGTTATTTTTTTAAAAAGTTAAATATGTGAATATTTTTAGCTTTTTAAGCTTTTACCTTAGTAAGTGGGGTGGAGAGGGGAAGTGATCATTTTTTAAATTGTATATTTCTGTATTACTGGTTTCAGCATTGCATGTCATTCTTTCATAATTGAATATAGTCAGCCGCTTTAGGTTTGGTGTACTTTATATAAATCAAATTATTTACCTTTTGGACAGCTATTTATTTTTTTAATCTTTGTTTCAGTTTTCTTAGGACCTTTTTAAAATTAGTTTTCACGCTTTAGTTTTCCATTAAATTTTTATAAAATGAGGACAAAATACAATAAAACTAATTTTCACACTTCTTTTTTTTTTTCTTAAAGCTGCAGACCTCTTTTTAAAATTAAATCTTATTTGGATGCCCAGTATGTAAAACAGCTTCTTCAGAGCTGTAGTTCTCAGAGTATAATTTAAAAACCCGTGTAATAAATTATTTAGGTAATTACATACATACTGACAAAGATGGTGCTGCTGCTGAAATTAAATTTCTGTTATCATCATACCATCACATTATAGCTTGAAATATTTGTTTCTAATGTACAAATACCATTTTATATATGAAAGGCATTTAGGCATAGTATACCAAAGTGTTATTTGCTCAAGAAATGAATGTAGAAAATCAAGTGTTTAATAAACTGCCAGGTTGTGTTACAACCTAAGTGCTTTATCTGAAAGGTTTCAGGGAGTGGTTGGGACTTCAGATAATCTGGCTAATTTGATTCTTACTTTTCCTTGCGCTTCATTTTAGTAAATATGGAAATAAATTGTGAACTGCCCAAAGAGTGTGGAGGAGAAAGAGTATTCCTAGACCTGGATATGTCAGCAGTTGTCAGCTTTTTGGTCTTAGGATCCCTTTATACTCTTAAAATCTGCAGGCCTTCAAAGAGCTTTGGTTTATGTGGGTTATATCTGTCAATGCTTATTCATTTACAAATTAAAACAGAAATTTTTAAAGTTTATTGTTTAAAAATAGCCATAACAAGCCCATTACACGCTTACAGAAGTAGCATTTTTTATGAAAAATAACTGTATCTTCCAAAGCAAAGAATATTTAGTGAGAAGAGTGATATTATTTTACGTTTTACAAATTTCCTTAATGTATGCCTTAGTAGAAGTTGGTTGGATTCCATTTCTGCTTCTGAATTGAGTCTTTTGTGGTATCACAGGTCATGTAGCCTCTGGAAAACTCGTCTGTATATTTATGAGATAGTGAAAATAAAAAAAAAATACCATTTTAGAATTATGATAAAAATAGGTTTTAACTCTTGGAGCCTCTGAAAGGGCCTCAGGCTCTGGGCCCACACTTTGCCAACCACTGCTGTCTACCATTAATGAGCTGTATGACCTGGTATGTTGCACGTGCTCCATCAACACTCTTCTTTGCTTTGTTGCAGAGTCATTTGGGCAGAACTATCCAGAGGTAAGAGTATAGTATTGTTGTGATATTAGGAATGTGGTAATTACCTGGTGTTTATGTTTGAGGGAAAATGCCTTTTGATCCTTGTTCTTTGATGTCAGAAGCATGAAGTGTGATAATATATTTTTTGCTACAATAAGGAACTAAAGATATAATTTTGAGCTGGGGGAAAGGTGGATGGGCAACTTTGGCTGGAAATCTCACCATAATCATTTAAATCTTGTAGTGCATTTACCTGTACGTTAAAAAAGCTTTTTTTTTTTTTTATTGTAGGATTTTTACAAACAGTGCCATTACCTGAACATTGATTTTTTTTCCGAGTGCTTTTCTAGTTTTGATTAATGTTTTTCCATAGTAATAATCTGTATGCTATGTCTGTGCTGCTTTTTTAAATGTAAAATGTGTTGTAACACTTGAATATGTTTGAGTGTAGTCATTATGGTTATTTTAAATGATTCGATATTGATATAAAATAATTTGATTTCCCTAATGTTATGCATATAGGCCATTCCAGGTTTTTTTGTTTTTTTTTTAATTATTTTTTTGGAATAAATCCCAAGAGACTTGATTTCTGGTCCAATAGGTATGATTCTTTTAATGACTTTTGTTGTATTTTGCTTAATTGTCCTCCAAAAAGTTTTTACATAGTTATATGGTAATGTAAGGGATTGATCACACTTGGTTCCAAAAGTCCTCTCTTAGCTTTTATAAATATTTCTTTATTTTGGCTAGTTTAATAGGTACAAAAAGGCACATAGAGATTATTTTTATATACATTGCCATTTAAATTTAAGAGCAGTGTCATAAATGACAGAGAACCTCTAAGAAATAATTTGGATATCTGGCTGTTAATGTCATTACTCTTGTATTCATTTTAATTTTTAGGAAGCCGATGGAACTTTGGACTGTATCAGCATGGCCCTGACTTGCACCTTTAACAGGTGGGGCACACTGCTTGCAGTTGGCTGTAATGATGGCCGAATTGTCATCTGGGATTTTTTGACAAGAGGCATTGCTAAAATAATTAGTGCACACATCCATCCAGTCTGTTCTCTATGGTAAGGAGTTTTTTCATTAATGTGTTAAATATGAGTTATGTTAGAGGAATAAATGGTGACTGTACCTTTGCTAGTCTCAATGTGTATATTTTCCTATTTAGAGTTTTAAATGTTGAGGCATTAATAGTACAATTGCTTATAGCTTATGTATACCCAGAACCCATGCTGTACCTTGAAACACCTTTGTAGGGAGAAATTCAGTGTAACGTGGACCTATATCAGGCTCTCTCTGAGAATACGTCAGTACTAAAACAAGATACTTAACAAATCGCAGCTGTAGTATAATTGTCATTAAAAAAATACCAAACCCATTGCTGTTGAGTCGATTCTGACTAATAGCTAGCCTATAGGACAGAGTAGAACTGCCCCATAGGATTTCCAAGGAAAGGCTGGTGGATTTGAACTGCCGACCTTTTGGTTAGCAGCCGAACTCTTAAGCACTGAGCCACCGGGGCTTCACTGTGCCACCAGGGCTCCATAATTGTGATATTGACCTTTAATTTAGAATAAAAGATTTTGGAGTTAGGAGGGAAATTATTATTATTATTATTTTTTTAGGGTACGGTAGATACTTGTATATTAGTTTGCAAAATAAATCTATATAAATGAGCATGTATGTGGAATATATTTGTTATAGCCAGGGTTTCATTTTACTGCTCAAATGTGGTATGGGATATTTAATTATTTAGTCACAAATATTGGAGAAAAACACTAAAAACCTGTAAATATTCAAAAGCACTAAGGTAAAAGTTTTCAAAAAAAAAAAAGTAGTAATAATAAGGAATGGATTCATGAGACGTAGTTAAAGGCCAACCTTTTACAGCTCAACTTAAGTTTTCTCCTTACAATCTTCAGTCGGCTTGAAATCTAGCTTTCCCAGTTGTGAGCCTGAGATTTTATTTGTCTGCTCATCAATATCCTGCAGTTTGGACAAATCTCAAATAGGCTGTGCAGACGCAGTTTGGAAAGAGAACTAGGTTTGGCCACTGAGTGTGTCTTTAACTTGTATAAATCCTAATGTGTTTAATAGAACGTGGAGTGTTTAACGTTCAGCATTTCTTCATTGTTGTGGACAGTCTTTCGGTGAGGCATTCTGTATGGGTTCTGTGACCAACAGAATGAATTTCTGTTGGTGAATGTCTTTATTGCTGTCCCATCTCCAGGTGCAGAAAGACAGGCTGTATCAGGAGTCCTCAGAATGGAAGCTTTTCTATACAGGTTGAGTTAAAGGGCTGTATAAAAAAAGAAAACAAAACAGTTTCTTTCCAGTTGACTCCAGCTCATGGCGACCTTATGTGTGTTGGAGTAGAACTGTGCTCCGTAAGGTTTTCTTTTCTTTTTTTTTTTTAGTGAACTTTAGATGGAAGTTTGCAGAACAAATAGTTTCTCATTAAACAGTACACATATTGTTTTATGACAATGGTTAACAACCCCATGACATGTCAACACTGTCCCTTCTCAACCTTGAGTTCCCTATTACCAGTTTTCCTGTCGCGTCCTGCCTTCTAGTCCTTGTCCTTGGGCTGTTTGTGCCCCATTAGTCTTGTTTTGTTTATAGGGCTGTCTAATCTTTGGCTGAACAGTGAACCTTGGGAGTGACTTCATTACTGAGCTAAAAGGCTGTCCGGGGGCCATACTCTCGGGGTTTCTTCAGTCTCTGTCAGGCCAGTACGTCGGGTCTTTTTTTGTGAGTTAGAATTTTGTTCTGCATTTTTTCCAGCTCTGCCCGGGACCCTCTGTTGTGATCCCAGTCAGAACAGTCAGTGGTGGAAGCTGGGCACCATCTAGTACTGGACTCAGTCTGGTGGAGGCTGTGGTAGTTGTGGTCCATTAGTCCTTTGGACTGATCTTTTGCTTGTATCCTGTTCTCTTCATTCTCCCTTGCTCCCAAAGAGGTGAGACCAGTAGAGTATCTTAGATGGCTGCTCACAGACTTTTAAGATCCCAGACGCTACTCACCAAGGTAGAATGTAGAACCTTTCCTTTATAAACTGTGTTATGCCAGTTGAGCTAGATGTTGCCCGAGACCATGGTCCCCACAGCCCTAGGAGGGAAATTTGACAGTCATCTAGTCTAGCCTTATCCAGATTTATCTTGGATTCTAGCAATTTCAGTGATCACAAGTGTGCCTACTCTTTCACTGAGTTAAAGCTACTAAGAGCTTTCTGTCAAATATATTGAGCTGAAATCTGCTGTTACATAAATTCTCACTGATTTTACTCTTACTCTCTAAAACTACTTCGCAAGATTTGGGGGCCAGCACTTTTTTTTTTTTAAATATCAGAAGCATGAAGTGTGATAATAGGTGCCCCCAAAAGCACCTAATCAGATCTAGGTTATGAAACTGTAAATATTTCCTTTTGTTTAAATGGAAGCAGCAGTGGTATCATAATACACCAGATTGGGAAGAGGTCTGAGTTCCCAGTCTAGGTTCTGCCACTGAGGGACTGATCGATGGCTTTGAGTAAAATTCTTCCCTAATACCCAGACTGAGAACGCTGGCCTGGATGATCCTATAGGCCTCTTCCAGCTCGTTTGCATTTCATTCCTTTTTTGTTGTTGTGTCGTTGCAATAAAGATTTAAATATATGTGTATATTTTTAGTAGTATGCATGCACCATAAATATTTAATTGTTCCCTTATTTTTGGTGTACATAAGTATAGTTATAGTAGTTACACACATTTTCCATTTTTCTTTGGTTTAAGCTTATTTAGGATATATCTTTGTTATGTAATATTTGAACATACTAGGGAGAAGAATGTTTCATCAAGAGAAGGTGTGGGTAGGCATGTTAGTTGTCTTCAGCTGTCTAAAGGGTTGGTATGTGAAAGAGAAAAAGATTGACCCAAGGTATAGAAGGACTGGTAGATAGTGAGCAGGCGTTAAAGAGAGACAAGTATTCAGAGTCGGGAAGAGCTGCCAAGCAGAGGCGCCATGGATGGGATGGACTGCCCAGAAGGAACTCTCAGTGGTACTGTCCCTGCTTAGGCTTGTTGCCCCTTCTTGGGGATGCTACAGAATAAATTCAAGCACTAGGTGGGCGCCGTGGGTAGAACTAAATGATTTTTAAGGCTTTGACACTAGACTTAGTAAAGATACATCTGTCTTCTGTCAGGTGTAAGAAAGCATGATAATTCATAATTGTTGAGTTTATGGAATTTGGAATTGAATAATAAAATGTTTTAAACGGAGAACCGCTGTTAGTTTTAACTTGTTTATAATGTAATTTTAAAAATTAGATTTCCCATGATTATAACAGCAATATAACTTGTGAAAGAAAAAAAAATTATAGTGCAGAAGAGTTTAAAAGGAAAATGGAATCATAGCTAACATTCTGTTCTACCGTGAAATCGTGCTAAAAGACAAGAATAATAACAAATGCTATTCCTCATTTCCCCCCACTCCCAATCTTGTCCCGCTCCCAGTGTGCTTCCAATTTTTTTGACTGTTTCTTCTGATATTTATGTTTATATATCCAAATAACGTGTGTATACTGCTTTTTCTTGGTTTGTTAATTTTCTATATTATCTGTGGACCTCCTGTTACAGTATACATGAATTTTAGCTTACCCTCTTCCCCTCCCGTCATCAAAATTGAGTGGACAGCCTGCTTTTTTGTTGTGAAACCTTAAGTTTCAGCGTCTGTAGGCTACTTCTCTGGAGTTCACATTCTCTAGAAGGATCCTCTAATTGTCTTTCTGAGCCTGTCTGCAGCCTGTCTGAGCCTGTAGGAGAGAGAGACCAGAGCCCTTTTGTATGCAGACTTAAACTTAACCCCTCTCTGTTCACTTCCTTAGTTTACTCCTGCCTTCCTGTGTCCCTGGATCCTGAATCTAACAATACATTTATCTTATCTCTGATACAAATAATTATTAATGTATAAGTCTAAATGTATAGTATATAAGTCGAAAGTATAAGTCTTGACTCTTGAGCCCATGTTTTTAACCACGATACTATATTACCTGCCAGTTCCTCAGTAGAAACTGCCCTTCATTCCAAAATTAGGATACTTTTTTGGTTTTGTTTTCTGTTTGTTCCTTCCATTTTTCTCTGTTTTCTTTTCCTGCCTTCCTGTGGGTCACTTGAACATCATTTATAATTCCATTTTGATTTATCTGTAGTGTTTTTTAATGCATTTCTTTGTGTTTCTGTGTGTATAGTTAGAGGTTACTAAGTATTGCATTATATATAATTTATCACAGTCTGTTGATGTTGACATTTTACCAATTTGAGTGAAGTATAGAAACCTAACCTTACTTTATGTCCATATACCCTCCCCTGTTTTAATATAATTGCCTTATATATTTCCTGTATGTAATACATATATTTCCTTGTCTACAGACATACATGAGAACCATAGCAGTGTTAAAATTTTTGTTTCAAACTTCAGACATAATTTAGAAAACTCAAGAAGAGAAGAAAGTCTATTGTATTTACTCATATTTTTATACTTTCTGTTGTTCTTCTTTCTTTTCTTCCTGATGTTCCAAGATTCCTTGTTTTATATTTCCTTCTGTTTAGAGAACTTCCTTCTTTTAGAAACCATTCTTTTAGAGTAGTTCTTACTGGTGACAAATTCTCTTGGTTTTCCTTCATCTGAGACTGTCTTGATTTCCCCTTTCATTCCTCAAAGGTATTTTTGTTGCATATAGAGTTTGAGTTGATAATTCTGTTCTTTCAGCATTTGAAAAATATGCCACTTCCTTCTGGCCTCTGGTTTCTGAGGAGAAATCTGCTGTCATTCAAATTGTTGTTCCCCTATCTGTAAGGTGTCATTTCTGTCTGGCTGCTTTCAAGATTTTTGTTTGTTTTAGTTTTTTAGTGTTCAGAACTTTGTTGTGTGTGTCTTAGCATGGATTTCTTTGGATTTATCTTGAGGTTTGCTCAGCTTCTTGAATCTGTAGACTCATATCTTTTGCCAAATTTGGGGAAATTTCAGCCACTGTATCTTCAAATACTTCTACAGCTCCACTTTCTTTCTTTTTTCCTTCCAGGACTCAGATGACATGAACATTAGATCTTTTGTTATAGTCCCACGGGTCCCTGAGGCTCTGTCCCTCCCACCTCCCACGCCCCCAGTCTAATTTATCTCTGTTATTCAGATTGGGTAATTTCCGTTGTTCTACCATCCAGTTCATTGATTCATCCCTCTGTCCTTTCCATTCTGCTGTTGAGCCCACCTGTTGAATTTTAATTTTGGTTATTGTATTTTTCAGTTCTGAAATTTCCATTTGGTTATTTATATCTTCTGTATCTTTGCTGAGACTTTTAATTTTTTTTTCAGTTGTTTCAAGTGTGTTCATAATTACTTCTTGAAACATTTTTATGTCGGCTGAATTAAAATCCTTATCAAGTAATTCTGAGATCTGTGTCATCTCAACGTTACTGTCAGTTGATTATTTTTTTCTCATTCAAATTGAGATTTTCATGGTTTTGGAGTTGATCAGTGATTTTCATTTGAAACGTGGACATTTTGGTTATTGTGTTATGAGAGTTTGTATCTTATTTAAAACTTCTGTTTTAGCATGCTTCCTCTCAAAGTGCACTGGCAGGGGAAGGGAGCGTGCCATTGTGTTATTGCCAGATAGGGATGGAAGTGCAGGTTCCTTACTTGGCCTCGTTATTGCTGGGCAGGGTTGGGAGTTTAGGTTCCTTACTGTGCCTCTGCTGATATCACTGTGGCTGGGAGCGGTAAGGGTGCCTAGTTGCTGTTCCCCGGTGGCCTCCACTGACACTGTAAGACAGGGGGAACCTCCTGGCAGGAATGAAAGTCCTGGTTCCCCGCTCGCCCTTCTCTGATATCACCCAAGCAAGGGAGGAGGCATGTCTCATTATAGCCAGGCAAGGATGGAAATCTAGGCTCTCCACTTGGACTTTGTTGATGTGAGTGTCTTAGTCATCTAGTGCCGTATAACAGAAATACCACAAGTAGATGGCCTTTAACAAACAAATTTATTCTCTCATAGTTTAGGAGGCTAGAAGTCCAAATTCAGGGCAGCAGCTCCAGGGGAGGGCTTTCTGTCTCTCTTGGCTCTGGGGGAGGTCCTTGTCTCTTCAGCTTGTTGCCTGGTTCCTTGGAGATCTTCATGTGGCTTGGCATCAGTCTTCCCCCATCTCTGCCGTGCTCACTTGTTTAATCTCTTTCATATCTCAAAAGAGACTGACTCAAGATACGCCCACCCGATACTGCTCCTGCCTCGTTAACATAACAAAGACAACTCATTCCCAAATGGGATTATAACCGCATTTATAGAGGTTAGGATTTACAACACATATTCTGGGGGGACATAATTCAATCCATAACAGTGGGGCTGCGATTAAAGTGTTTTATGTGGTGTTTGCTGGATTAGAGTGATTGTCTAAAAGTTTGCTATCTTGTTAGGCTTTCTCTTCCCCGGTCCTTTGGCTGGAGAGAGTAAGCTCTTTGGGCTTTCTCTGTTTGTGCCCATTGGTGTTTCTGGATTGCTGGCTTCTCCAGCACCCAGTCTGGGATATGTGAGGCACAAGAAAATTCAGGGAACTCATCACTACGTCATTCCCTGGGTTCTGTGATGTCTCGCCAGTCTGCCATCTCTTCACCTTTCTAAGTCTTTTTATGTTTGTTTTGTATATAATGTCCTGGGTGTTTAGCTGTACTTTTAGCAGGAGGAATAGGGAAAAGTGCATCTATCTACTCCATCTTTCTGGAAGTGGAAATCTGATAAATATTTTTTAATATTTTTTCCCATATGTAGTTTTTTGACTCATCTTAAATATATTCCTATTCGCGGTGTGGCCACGGGTCTCTGATTTTACTAACAACATTTGTTAAAAAGTGAGTCCTCTTCCATTATAGTTTTATTGCTTTTACTTTCCATATAAAAGAGCATAGCAGTTGGTGCTGGACAGACCCATTTGAATCCTAGCCCTGCCATTTTTTTGTTTTTTTTAATTGTACTTCAGGTGAAGGTTCACAGAACAAATAGTTTCTCATTAAACAGCAGTACACATATTGTTTTATGACGTTGGTTAACAACCCCACCACATATCAACCCTCTCCCTTCTCGACCATCTTTTTTTTTTTTTTTGGTGAAAATATACATAGCCAAAGATACACCATATGCTCTTTCAATTGTGCTGCTATTCTCACTTTAGATGAAGGTTTACAGAACAAAAT